GGGGACTTGGGCATAAAAGGGGGATAATGTTATGATCTTGTAACCCCCCTTCAGGACTTGCCAGGGGTTTCCCCAACTGGGGGATTACCTTCAGCCTCCGCACCTTTGTACATTCCCCAGTTAGCAATCTATCATCTTAATCACAACAGCATTTGACATGCAGAAACTCCCATGAAGCTTCTGTTGTTACTCCAACCTTTCTCCAAGAGCAATTCAACCAAGCCTTAATGCACATTCACTGTGCATACTGCACAGTCACTGTGCAGTATCACTGTGCATACTGCACAGTCACTGTGCATACTGCACAGTCACTGTACAGTATCATCTAAATATGCAAACAGGTGTAGCTTGGATGGCAGCATGGCTGGAGCATGCTGCTTGTCAACTGTAGGCAGTTAAGCCAATTATTTTGCATTGTAAGGCAATTCATTAGAAGAGCAGACCCGATTGGTTGAATACAAAAGACATGTCACATCACAGATAACAAGAGTCATAATTTTCAATAATCAGTCAATAACAATCAAGCAGTAAAAACAAAAGGACTAGCAATAAGATTTGGGGTCCAAAGGCTTCAAGATTGGTTCAATAGATCATACAAATCAGATAACTGTTTGCTTGTTATATTCATAGCGGATTGTAAGAAGAAGTGGGTGGTAATGGAGATTAGGGAACAGCAAAAAGAAGAAGAGATGAAGCACCAACAGCTCCGCTGCAGGTAATCAACTCATTCCAAGCATCACAGGGCCGGAGAACTGTGTGCTGTGAGGACTATAAATGATTGATATGTAATAAAAAGAATGAACCAGTCAGTATTCAACCAAGCTTTGGTGCTTTCCTTCATAATTGTAAGCTGTTTGCTCCCTGTCTACTGGGAAACTTGATGAGCCAATCACCAAAGCAAACTTCCATCATCTACTTCTTTTATGGCTCTGTGAGCTCATCATCTCCACATCATCAGTCTATCTGATTTTTTAATTGAGCTTTCACCACAAATAGGCAACCCCGACTCATATGGAGAGATGGCTCACACACAGCAAGCACCAGAAGGAGCATGTTTTTACCTGTGGATTGGAAGTAACTGTTGAAAACATTGGAAACATCTGAAAATCCCTCTTCCACCTGTGCATTCACGTGTAACTGCTAGGTGGCTTCAGAATGAAGTATGTGAGCGAACTTGGCGAGCAATCCGGTTTTTATTTGTATAACCCTTATAAAGGCAGACGGTGAAGTAAGGTGTGGCTGGTACGTTGTGCATGCCCGTTTACTTCCAAGAATGGATAAAGAAGAGCCGGAGAAGTATTTACATTCCGAAGCGGTTCCGGCATCAATATGGACTTGAAATTCTGATTCGTTGGAGGGATATGTGTAATATCGCTGGGATCATGACTTGCCACCTCTTAGAGCAAGCACAAGATGCAAAGTCGACCCGCCTTCGATCCCTAGTTCCTTCACAGTCTTCTCGTCGGGCCTGCCGGCCCCGAAAGGAGAGAAATCATTCGGCAACGTTTGAGCAACCAACCCATTGATTAAATTTCTCAAGCATCAAAGGAAAAATCTGCTTGGCTGACATTTGTTTCCCTCCGAAAATTAATCTTTGTTGACTAGGCGGGATCCCCTCTTTTTCCTCAATTCTGTCTTTCACTTTAGATATCTGTTGGAATGATTCGGTCAATACGAACACAGTAAAAGATGCAATTTGCAGTCGAGACACGTTAGGCTGTGATGTTTGGCTATGCTATTGCTAATTTGAATTTGAAAACTATATTGTTATGTTGGGGAGAAGGGTTGAGCCTCACCTTATCGTCAGATTCGACATCCAATTCAATCTGTACAACCAGGATCGTTCGAAAAAGCAGCCAGCTGTAAGCCTTCACGGTTAACAACTTAAGACGAAAAATACTTCACGCACCTCCTTTCCTGTTAACGTCTGGAACAATTTCGATCATATCAACGGAAGCAACGGCGAGTATGGCAGCAATTGACATGATTCAGGGGCAGGGGGGGTTAGATAGTGGTAAGCCGAGCGAGAATTCAGCCACGTATTCGAAGTTTCCTGAAGATGAAGGTGCTCTCATAGAGGGTAAAAGCGGAAGATGTAGGCTGCTTACCTTGACCTTGATCTGCATGGTTTCCTTTGTCTTCAGCGAATGGTCTGGCCGAACGAGAGACGAGTACGCCGTCTTGAGTGATAGGCTGCAGGCAATCTTAATGCGCGTCCGAGGCTGCTGCGCTGTGCAGCATTCGCGCATGCCCCCTTGGCGGGACTATCGCGGGAAGCACCTTGCTGCGCAAAGAGACGGATTGCTTGTGAAGACCAGTTGAGCCCAGAAGCCCATGGAGACAGGATATTAGGAACTTGTTATCAGTGAGGATCTATAGATGTAGGACCAGGAGATACATTCCTCTGCACCCTCTCTTTATGGTGGCAAGGGCCATCGTATAATTTTCATAATATCTTATTGGTGTTTATATGCAAAAGTGATAAAATCAACAAGGTTCACACTGGTGTTTTTTGCTTCCAATTCCCGTTAAGATTTTTCCGACGACTAAAATGAGCTACTCAAATTGTTGAGGCACAAGTTAGTGTGCTACCATGATGTATCACCTCAGTTGAACCATTACCACTACTGCCCAACCACCATGGCCACCCAATTGTATGTAGCCTTACTGTGATTGAGATAATAGATTGCTAACTGGGGGATGTACAAAGGTGCAGAGGCTCAAGATAATCCCCTGGTTGGGGAAACCCCTGGCAAGTCCCAGAGGCACCACCCCAAAAGGGGAGGCAATGATTGTATGTTGCCTTGATAGAAACATTGCTCTTACCTAGGTATTACTCATTATTAACTCCCTTCTTACAGTAGTGTAACTTATTTATAAACCTGTGGTTACATCCACAAAACTACAAGCAAGGGCCTTTGTCAAGGGGCTTCAGAGACAGAGGTTACAAAAGTGTATAGCCCATGTTTGAGGGTGGTTCCTTGGGTGTGGCAGTGGAGTTATGGTTGTGTTATACACTGGTTACAGCATGGAAATTTGCTTTTGGGGTGGTGAGGGGGTTAAAAGGTCATAACATTATCCCCTCTTTATTCCTAAGTTCCCAGTGGACTCTGCATCTTCCCGGGGCAGCATTAAAAACCCTGGCTGTGGGGCAAAAAGCCTGCCCTCTCACTACTACCATTTCCGTCAATGTCGTCGATGCTTTCTGGCTGCGCTGGGGAATCAAGTGTTGAATTGACTGACCAATGCTTTGCAATTCTTCAGGTTTTTGACTGGTTCTCAGGAGTTTTCTTGTGGGCCAAATCCTTTCCAGCTGACTAAATACTGCTGCTGTTTTCTGCACATTTAACAGTCCAGAACGCCTCAACTTCCCATTCAATGTTGTCCTCAATGATTATGGGGGCCGGTGGGTGTGGTTTGTGGCTGTTGATCTGGGGGGCATTTCTGTAGGAGGGACACATGGAACACGGGTTGGACGCCCCGAAAAGAAGCAGGTGAGGTCAGTTCATATGCGGAGGATGAGATGCCTTTGGAGATTGGGAAAGGTCCTAGCCATTGGTCATCCAGCTTGGGGCACGGTCTGGTTGTAGATATGTTGCAACTGTTGAGCCAAACCTTGTCCCCAATCTTCCAATCTGGGTTCATTCTGATGTGCTTATCAAACTGACGCTTAATTGACTCTTGTGATCTTTGCAGACATTCCTTCAATTCCTCTTGTACTTCACTGAGCTTCTTGAGGTGTTCTTCAACTGCTGGTAAACACTGTTCAGGAGAGGGTACACGGACATAAGAAAAGTTGAATCCAAAATTTGCTTTGAATGGTGAGATGCCGGTGGAGACATGGTCATGTTTGTTGTTGGAAAACTCAGCAGTTGGCCCCAGTTGTCTTGGTGGTAGCTGATGAAGTCGCGTAAATATTGCTCAATGGCTTTGTTGGTGATTTCAGAATGTCCATTCAAATTCTGCAATTGCAGTGAAATTATCCGGTATAATGTTGTCTGGTTGGAGAATTTTTCAAAATGAAAGCTTGTCCGCATTGTCTGGGACCAAGTCCAGTCTGCAGGAGAGAGCATTGGGGCAGTGTGGAACTACTCCTAGGGGAGATAGAGCTTGGAAGGGAAATAGACAACTACAACTAGTAAAAGTGTAAGCTGAACTACGGGTGCTGATGAGGCTGCCTTCCTGTTCAATGCTGGAGCTGGAAGAGTTACACTAAGAAA